AGTTAAGATTTGAAAATGAAACAGAGAAGCTTATTGGTTGCCAATGGCTCCACATTTTGTCTGCTCCAGTTTTGATAAATTCCCTTCATTGACTGTAAGTGCTTGGGCAAAAATGTAAAGAAGTACTTTGCTGTACAATGTGTATTTGTCTGATCTGTTGATTTGTGATACTTTTCCAGCTGATTTATAAATATGCTTCACATATCAACTTCCCTTTGTGTGAAATGTATTTTTTTTATGTTAACAGTTGTGTAAATTCTTCCATAGTAGTCAGCCTTGTCCAATACATACATACCTTGAATTCTAAAAGAAAGGGTTCTTCATCGCCTCCTGCTGGCCAATAGGGATCACTGGAGTGATTTGGGGAAAATTGATATAGAAATGACTAATTGTAACAGTGAGCAGAAGCGGAAATCTGTATTTGGGGCAGTTTAATTTTTTTCATTTACAGGGTTATTCACTAAAGGGTGAAGAGTTTGGAGAAGGCAGGAGAAGGGAATAATTTAGGTCAGCATAGCTGAACTGGAAACATTCTCCAATTCAGCTCACCTTCCAGTTCAGCTATGTTGTCCTAGATTGTTCTCCTGCCTTCTCCAAACTCTTCACCCTTTAGTGAATAACCCTGTCATTGTTCTTTTTTTTACATTTGTAATTTTTTGTCCCCCCTCCCCGCTTTCTGTTAAAAAAGTACAATAATGATGGCTTTTTTCTTTGGCCCATGTACAGGTGTGAAATAGCTGAAATGAGCTTCTGTAATGCTCATTGACCACTTTGACTCATTGCATCCTTAAAAATACCAAAAACATCACTTTACTTTGCCTTCCCCGTTGACTAATAATTTATTTTGAGGAAATTAAAACTCTCAATTTTGCTCATTCGTAGTCATGCTGAACACCAAGGGGGTCCTCTGTGCACCTCCTCCTAATAGGAAACCTCTGGGCCCTTGTGGCCCCCACTCACAAAATTGCTTCTCTTTACTTTCTTCATAGTAGAGAACCTCCAAGCACATGTGCTCCCAACTTCCTGCACATAACCACTTGTATTCATTCACTTCATAGTAGGAAGCACCAGGTCCCTGTGGTCCCCACTTAATTGTTCGTCCGTACTCTCTTCATAGTAGGGGGGGGGTTGTGGGGTGGGCGCCTTTTCGACACATGGAGGAGCACTTTTTCATTGGAACGCTGAATTATTTTGACACCTGTTTACTGTATCTGCACTTTATCGGATTTGGAGGAAGTTCTTTTTTTCTCACTTGAAAAAGCTTTCACATTTTCACGATTAAGGACTGGACTGTTGTTTGAATTGACTGTCTGGCGCTATTATCACTTTGATTGATCACTTTATCAGTCCTATAAAGTGAGACATCTATTGTCTGCCACATACAATGCTGTTTAACACCTCTCTCTGGGCTGGTTAATAACACCTATACTCCAATTATGCAAATGCAAACAAACACCTGGTTGTGACTAACAGATTATGTGGATTGGAGCGACATTTACCATATTTATTCCCAGATAATTTTTGTACAAGTCATTCTGAATTGAGAAAGCTGGTCGGATGACCAGTGAAACATCTTCAAGAAAAATACAGCAGGTCCAGTTGCCTTGACTTATTCTTTACAGATATACCATGACCTGCATGAATGAGAACTTTCACAGACATGAGGCCACACAGGGAGCTCAGTTGTAATATAAACACATTGCTTGCATTCTCATTTTAATTGTCACAGTAAGCTTCTCAATGCTTAATTTTGTACTTTCAGTCACCTGAAGTATTCTTAGTTTTAGACAGAGTGGGGAAGGGATAGCACCCCTGTCAGTTTTTTTATTGTTACCGTGCTTTCCCAAAAGTAAGACCTACCCCGAAAATAAGACCTAGCGCTATCTTCGGGGATTTCTGTAATATAAGACCTACCCCGAAAATAAGACCTACTTTGGTTGTAGGTCTTATATTACAGACATCCCTGAAGATAGCGCTAGATCTTACTTCCGGGGTAGCTGCACATGTAATTACATTTTATATGTGAAGACCGGCCGCAGCTCCCTCCTGGCCCCTCGCCCGCCCACCTACCCGCACGCCCACCTGTCTGTTTCTCCATTCATTGCATCAGAGCGGAGAGGCAACTCCCTCCCGCCCCCCCTGCCCGACACGCCCCCCCCCTACCCGCCCGCCCACCTGTCTGTTTCTCCATTCATTGCATCAGAGCGGAGAGGCAACTCCCTCCCGCCCTCCCTGCCAGACACGCCCCCCCCGCACGCACGCATGCCCGCCCACCTGTTTGTGGCACCCTGGACGGCAGAGCGGACAGCTGCAGCCAGGTAAGACATCCCCCGAAAATAAGACCTAGTGTCTTTTTTCGTGAAAAAAATAAAATAAGACACTGTCTTATTTTCGGGGAAACACGGTATCTGTAGGGATGCACTGAAATTTCGGCCTCTGAAACGTTGGCAGAAAATGGCACTCTGGGCAAAATGGTGAAAGTGCCATCTTTCGGACAAAATTGCAGTGCATTCCTAGTTTCTCTCTTCCCTGCTGGGTGCTGCTCTGTGTCCCCTCTGACACAGAGCAGCGTCCAGTGAGGAGGAAAGAAACTGTCAGGAGGCCGAGCGGGGCGTGCTGTGAGCAGCGGGTCACAGGAGGCTGAGCGGGGTGGTGCGGGAGGAGAGATCAGGATGGAGAGCGGCATGGGAGAGGAGACAACTGTGACCTGTCACAGGAGGCCGAGCCGGCGGTATGGGAGAGGAGTTGGCTGTCAGAGAAGATCGAGCTCTCCTCCCCGCACCGCTTGCTCAGCCTCCTGTGACACAGTGCCAGGATGGAGAGCGGGTATAAGCAGTCAGAGATCAGCTGATCGCTGGCTGCTTATAAAGAATTGTTTACTGTGTGCCCAATTATGAATGAACAGAAGGTGCTCTACATCACTTCCTGTTCATTCATGATTGTGGACATGGTAAACGTACTATATCCACAGGTTATGAATGGACAGGAACACTTGGTATAGAGAATTTCTGTCCATTCATAACAGGGGCTGCAGAAAAAGAGACTCTGTGTCCTCCATCTCTTTTTCTTTTTTATAAGGGAAATATCAGGGGCCTGTTCAGACTTCTGATATTTCCCCAAAGCCCCCAATAGCAGAGTAAAAAAAAAAAAAATATATATAAAAAATAATTTTAAAATGTTTAGGAAAAAAAGAAATAATAAAATATGAAAAAAATTGAAAAAAGTTAATTTTTTTTTCGGTTTCTGTCTGACATTTTTTTTTATTTTCGGTTGCGGTCAGAAAATTCCATTACAGCGCACCTCTAGTTATCTGGGGCACCATTAGAGAGATTTTTCCTCACTTCCTGTCCTGTTTAAAACATTTTACAAAACAGGAAGTGAGGGTAGCTCTCCAACAAACAAAAAAAATATATTTTTGTAGCATCCAGAAAGACTAAAGCCTCTGTCATATTTTTATTTCTGTCTCTGAGTTTCCCTCACTTGCTCTCTGGTAAAACCTTTGTCATCGGGACAGGAAGTGAAATCTTTCTAAGACCCCGTTCACACTGAGCGGTTTGTTGCGCGATTTCCACCCCAAAATCGCGCATATTTTCGCACAATGTCGCTCTATGTAGCTTGTCCAATGCATTTCAATAGAGCTGTTCACATCTCACAGCTCAATGTCGCCAGTAGCTCGTCGCTCAAGCTTGTAGCTGGAACATGACCTATTTTTCTGTGTCGCTCAATGTCACGCATTACCGGCGATATTGCGCTACAGAAGTGTCACTTTTGCACAGCAATATGGAAGGAAGGAATGATGTCACATCAAGACCGCTTTTGATTGGTTACAGCCCAATATAGCAGCGACGAAGTCCCTCCCAAAAGGCACGCTATGTAGCGCGACAAAATGTGCAATGTAGCTCAAGTCGCTCAGCTCGAAATCGTGTGGAAAAACGCGCAATTTTTCATGCCGCTCAGTGTGAATGGGGTCTAAAGGAGCCCTGGATAGCAGTAGAAACCAAGCAGGAGTTCTACAGTTCTCAAACAACTTTTGAGCTGGACATACACTTTAAAGGGTTATTAAACCCTCTGTTTTTTTTTGCATATATCTACTGCGGGCAAGCAGTAGATGTATGCAAAAACGTAAAAAAAAACACGAACGCTTAAAAAGAGGTGTCTTCGCCGCGCGCGCCCGTCCAGAAATCTGAAAAATCTCGGACGGCCGTAGAGGATCTTGGGGGCGGGCGCATGCGCACTTCAGATTTTCGGCCAGGAGACGAGGAGAGACACAAGGTAAGTCTATGGACACGTGCACCCGCATACAGACGCCGTGGGACAGGAAGTGCCAGCAAGGACAGAGCAGTCAGAGCTGGATCGGAGACCCGCAGCAGCGCTGGAGAGTCAGCGCTCAGCCCCCTTCACACATGCGCCGTGTCAGCGCTCAGCCCCCGTCACGCATGCGCACTTCAGATTTTCGGCCAGGAGACGAGGAGAGACACAAGGTAAGTCTATGGACATGTGCACCCGCATACAGACGCCGTGGGACAGGAAGTGCCAGCAAGGACAGAGCAGTCAGAGCTGGATCGGAGACCCGCAGCAGCGCTGGAGAGAAGGCTGAAAAGGACAGGAAAGAAGATGGGATTAAGAGACATCATTTAAGGCAAGTGCTTACACCAACATTCGGGGGGGGAGGGAAACATTTTTTAGACTTTAATGTCACTTTAAGTTTTATTATAAGAATGATAGAACTGGACACAAAATTGTCAGAAACTTTTCAATTGAAGGAAAGAGCTGGCCCATGGCCACGTGTCAAGAAGAGAATTCCAATCATTGACTGTGTTGTTAAATGTCGGTTTTATTATATTTTCAGCAACCAAAACAAAACCGGACCGGAACAACGCCACACCACACCCGAACCCCACAAGAGTGGGACAACAACAACTACCTGGCAGACAGCATGTGATGTGACTCTCAGTTACACACGAGCGGGTACGCCCACGGAGTGTTCTCATAGTCCCATTGGCTGCGTGGCGGTATCATCCATAGTAAACCCGGAATTCCGAGGCTGTAGCTGTTCCGCCTTTCCCCTGTGCGCCGTGTCAGCGCTCAGCCCCCGTCACGTGATTGGTCCCTCCGCTTCCGTAGTGCCTGCAGCGCCCGTTCCCGGTCCCCGTTATCAGAGAAGTTACTGACACTTACTTTGCCATGTCTACCTCCAGCACGGCCCTCACCTACAACCAGGACTACAGCTCCGTAGGGGGCGGAGGAGAATCTGCAGAGCTGGCACAGGAGGCCACCACGGGTGGCAGCTCCACACCGGCCGGTTTTGGGCTCTTCAGCGTGGACCTGAAAAAGTAAGAGAGAAGTTGGGGGGACTGTGGGGTGACCAGGCCGCGGAGAACTTCACCTTCTTGCAGCCTGTTGCTCTCTTATAGAGCCGACTGTGATTTCCAGGGGTGATCTGGGAGGTTTATTTCTTGTATTGTCCCATTATTTATGATCTGTGCATTGATCTGTCCGCTGCCCTGCACTGTCATCACTTTTTATCATTTATTTAGCACTGTTTTTATTTCAGATTACAGCTGTGCTCCGGCCTGACATGTTTTCTGATGTATTAAAAGTTCATACAATGTGATCATGTATTAATAAGTAGCTGCAGAATAATCCCACATTGATTATTTAATGATCAGGTCTCAGTCCCCTGCATTTCCTTTTAACTATGACCAATGTCTGCCATGCCCACTGTCTCACCCCCCGCCCCACATCCCCCCCCCCGCTTCTATCCCCTCTGTAGTTCCCA